ATATATATATATTCTACCAATTAATCTATTATCATATAAAATATCTACCAATTGATACTATATCATAAGATATATAAAAAGGTTTTATTTTCATTTGCCAATATTTTGAATAAATAAATTGTTATTTAAAAATAATCTATGGTTAAATAATATATATATTTCTTTCCTATCTCCCCATCTTTCCAATTTCATTCCAGACAACAATATTGAGACATAAGACGTCTTTAAGACATCTTTTAGACGCCAAAGACGTCTTATGTCTCTTTTTTAGATATTTTATGTTGTCTGGGATTGTATAGCTTATATAATCTATAATATAAGATTTGTAATTACAAAGAAAATCTATCAATAAGATTTTAAATGTGCATAATAAGATATTAGAAAGGAAGGAACGTATACATAGATTGTGATGAAAGGAATATCTAAACTTTCATTAACGCGATGCACACGTGCAGAAGCAATAAAGTGCACAACCTATTATGTGTATAGTCTCTCAAACTTGAAAATCTAGTCAAGAGTCAATGTGTGCCAATTACGAGAAGCTATCTAAATCTCCCTCGAGGGCTCTTCTCACTTCAAATGTGAAATGTAAGTACATCATTAACAAAATAGGCAAAGAGCTAATATCGGGAAGTTTAATTCACATAAATTATTAATATCTACACAAGAGTATCTATAAGATAATAATAAGAATAATATTTAAGCATTCATAAATTATAAATAATGAAATCTATAATCTAGTCTTATATCTGCTGCACCTATCACAGTTTTTGTATAAATTTACTTTAATATATATTTTATAAAGAATTACATACATTTATCTATCCAGAAGAGAAAGAGCTCATTTTTTTGTAAATTTTAATATAAGTTAGCAGAATGTATGTAAAACAATAATAAAATCCAAGAAAAAATAAATCTATTTTGATTTAATCATATATTTAAAAAATTCAAAATAAAATAAAGTTAAATTATATTCTAAATCATACTAGTTAACATTAATAT